TACCTGGAGGAACTTTACGTCTCCCAAAGTCTATCGCCTGAGTTTTTACTGGATTCACTCGAATCTTCCAGTCAAGGTACCAGCGTTCGAGGTCGTCTACATGCAACGCGCATTGGGAAACCTTCACGTGATCGAACTTCGGAAGGTCGCTCACGTAAAGGCTGTAGAGTAGAGGACACAGCACAGCTCCCTGAGGCACTCCAGCTTCGATTTCCCTGACAGGAGACAGGGTACCTTTAACTCGGACCTGAAATGTTCTGCCTTCCAGAAAGGACCTAATCCACCGGACCAGACCCCGAGGCAGATCAAAATCGAGCATTTTGTGTAGCAGGCCTTCGTGTCAGACTCGATCGAAGGCTTTCGAAATATCCAGGAGGACGAGATGGACTGTCTTTCTGTTGTTCAGCTCTGAGATGGAATTTTCGACCAGTTTCAGGGCCTGCAGCTCGGTGAAGTGTGCCCTCCTGAAGCCAAATTGTTTGTCAGGCAGAACATTTCGGTCTTCAACTTCTTCTGTTAGCCTTTGCAGCACAACACGTTCAGCCAACTTAGCCGTTGAGCAAAGCAGACTAATCGGACGATGATTCTGGCCCTGTTTCGGAATCATGACAACTACGGCATGCTTCCAATTTCGAGGGAAGTATCCGAGAGTGATTGAGCTGTTGATCATGTCCAGCAGGTAGGATCATTCCAGTAGCCTTCTTGGGTTTGGAGGTCCTAATGTACCCCCTCAGTTCTTCCTCCGGAGCTGGACGGATCATGTCGTCATCATTTTCCCTAAGGATGCGTCGAACCCAGTGTTCAAGCCGGATATCACGGTCAATATCATCATCCGGATCAACGTTAAGTCGAAACTGACTCTCCATTGTGTCTGCCAAGGCCAACGCCTTCTCACCGGGGGAGTAGCAGATGCCGCGCTGTCCGTGAAGAGGGGAAGGAGCGGTTTTCCTCTTCTTGAGCCTGCGGATGACTCGCCAGAGCTCGCCAGCCCCAGGTTCGAGCGATTCCAAACAATCGCTCCACCTCTCGTTTCTATAGTCAGTGATAAGCTGTATAACCTGGTTGGCCATCCTGCTAGCAGTAGCCTTGTTTCCAAAGTAGAGAGTCCGCTGATAAACTCGTCTGAGTCGATTTTTCGCATATAAGGTTCTTTATCCTAGGAGGAAACTCATTGTAGCTCTGCAGAGGACACTCTGTCCTGGTTGTGGCTGCGCGGAAAACGTTGTTCACAGACAATTCAAAATCTGCCTGCCACTAGGTGAGCCTTGAAGGCTTCCCAATCCGTGGATGATCTCATGCGATGATCCTGGGGAGGCAGATCATCACCCAGCATCAGGATGACTGGATTATGATCTGAGTCAAGTTCTGACAAAGTGTACACTCCGCAAGACATGGAGACGTTCCTGAGCAGTACGATATCAAGCACGTCAGGCCTCAAATCCCCACGGTACAACGTGGGCTCATCTGGACCCATCACTCGATACTCATGCCTGTCAGCATGCGCATGGAGCGCTTGGCCGTTCGCATTGGTGAGTCCGCTCCACAGATTGTGTTTGGCGTTGAAGTCACCAGCAGCAATTGTGGGGGTATTTGTCGACATCAGCAGTTCATCCAGTGATTCTGGGAGTAGACGATTCCGCGGAGGGTTGTAAACTGAGATTATTCCATGACGACCTCTTCTCAGTTGGAGTTCAACGTCCACGGTTTCCGTGCCATGTAACTGATCTGAGTCAATGCCGAATTGTACGTGACGAAGATTACGTTTGACAAAAATGCCAACTCCTCCTCCAGCACGTCTAATGCGTTCTCTGTGGTGAAAACGGTAGTTTGGAATACCAAAAGGTTCATTGTTCATTTTTCACCAGTGCAAAATCGATGTTTTGTTGTATTAGAAAATTCTCAAAATCTAATTTTTTGTTTGAAATACTGTTGGTTGGCATTTCAAAATAAAATCTTAGGAGAATCAGGCAATGTTGGTTGTCTAGCCATTAACAGGTTCCAGTTAGCACGTTGATGTTCACCGTAAACATCTTTTCGAGTACGGGGAACTGAATGAGTAGTTTCTTCATCTGGTCCAGAGCAGAACAGATGTCACTAACCTTCGACGGGCGGGGACTACTGGGCGCCTCGGTCGGCCTGGCGGAGGTGTTACCGCTCTTGGCCTCTCCTGCGTAGCTCATTCCCGGGCGTGTTCAACCAAGGCGTCCTCGATGTCAGCGGTCTCCAGATCTTCCGGGACTTCTCTGAAGACGGCTCTGATTTGCTTATCTTCAGGTAGGGTATACGTGTGGTGGGGGATTTTTTTCCTCGCCAATAGTTTGGACATATTCCTGTAGTCCTCTGCCGAAGAAGGCTGAACCTTGATGCCGTCAGCCATGTTTACTGTCTTGGCAAAGTTTACCTTATGAAAAGCAGCCAGCTTTGTGAATTGACCCCACTTGTCCTTCTGGCGAACGACAACGCGTGTTTTTCCGGTGCGTTGGGGCACCTCAGGACGAGGATGGAGAGGGGAGCTAGTTCCCTGATCGTTGGGGTTTTCAACCTGATTTAGATTTTGGAATGGCTGTTTTGGGCCACCCTGTATAGTCGAAATCGATTTTCGAAACCTATTGTCGTCAACCAACATTTCATGGTCACCTTCGACGGAAGACTCTGTTGTTGAGAGTTCTGACTCTGAAGTGTTGTTCTTGGCTTCGTCCCGGAACTTTGACATATATTTAATCACTTTTTTGTACTTGTTGCCGGTATTTTTGTTTACTGAAGCGACTGATTTAGATAGAAGAGGAGGAAACTCTTCTGGAAAGCGACGCTTTTTGTTAGCCGGTTCTTGAGGCTTGATTGCCGTCGTTATTTATCTCAAACTGAGCAGAGAGGGTAATGCCGACGGGAGTATCTCTGGAGGATACATTCCGTGACGGACCCTCGAATAACTTCTGGGCCCTTGATGAAGGGCCAGAGGGCTCCTGAGCTGCCGCCACGGGGCTGCTCCTTAGCAGCTCTGATGGACTCAGGCCCAGGAGATCAAGCAATAAACCGATAAAGGTAATTACTTCACCCCTGTCCCAGAGCATCAAGCTGCCAAGCAGTTTCTCCATTCTGCTGTAGAAAAACTTACACCCTTTGATATCCCAAGGGTAGACGATGAACAGTTCCGTGAAAGTGATAGTTTGAACACACTCACCAGAAGTCTGGAGGGTCCTTGCGCACTACAACCAACGCACTCACTAATAGGAGAGATGTTACTACTGGTGAATGGCTGATCATCTACCAGAAATAGTCGTATTTGTGGAAAAAACTTCGAAATTATCGCAGCGAAAAATATTTTGTGTGTCAGTTTGACAGCTAACGTCAGAATCTTAGACAGAATGTAAATAACCAAGAAAAGTACTTAATAAAAAAAACTGCGTAAACACAAGCGAGACATAAGTGGAACCACCGATTGTTGTGACACCCAATTCAACTTGCCAAGTTTTTATATCAGTGTTGGTGGTTTGTCCAATCAACTGACATCTGCGTTAGCAGAAAATTTGGAAGCTAACCTGGAATGCCATCGAAAAACGAAACCGCATGTTTCTAGAAATGGTATGAAATGAGAAAGGTTAATGCAGTCAAGCTTCTGGAAAATAATTCCATGAAAATCAAAAGATAAATAAATAAGCACCATCCTGATAATTCCCATGTTTATTTCAATGTAAGAGTCACCGGTAGACATCTGATTCAACCTATTGGGCATCGTCATTACCAGGCAGGCCGTCCTCGATTGATGACAAAATGTGAATAATCAAGAAAAATACTTGATAAAAATAACTGCATGAATACAAGTGAGACTTGGGTGCCACACCAATAGGTGGTTTCACTTATGTCTCGCTTGCGTGTACGCAGGGATTTTTATTGGGTACTTTTACTGGTTATTCACATTTTGTTTCCAATCGAGGACCGCCTGCCCGGTACTGACGATGCCCAATAGGCTGAAACAACTGTCTATCGGTGGCTCTTAGAGTGAAATCAATAAGGGAGTGATCAAAATAGTACTTATTCAGTTATCTTTTGATTATCTCCAGCAGCTTGACTGAATTAACTATTCTCTTCCTCTGTGACTTCTCTGTGACTCCATCATAGTCTCCATGAGAGACTGAACACTTTGTGATTTTATGTTCGATGGAAATTCATGAATTTGTTTTTTTTTTTATTATTAATATGAATACGAATTAAAAATATGAAAATATTTTTTTTCGATATGGAAAGAGGTAAATACGTGGTTTTCCTTCTGTGTGTGTCAAAGTCAGTGAAGATAGTGTGTCCAACTGGATTCTTCTTTTGTCTGCTGTATTAAAATTATTTCATTGGCCATGCATGGCCATAATTTTAAAATCTCAATTCTTTTAAATGTTGAAATAAAATAAGTTTTGTATTTTTTCTCTGAAACATAAAAATTCAATGTGTGACACTTTTCTACATGATGAAAAGTATTAACTTTGTTTACTGTTGTACTGACGATGCTCAATAGGCTGAAACAGCTGTCTACCGGTGGCTCTCAAATTGAAATCAATATGGGAGTGATCAAAAGGGTACTATCTATTTATTTTGTGATTTTCATAGAATTATTTTCCAGCAGCTTGATTGCATTAACCTTTCTAGATTTCATATCATTTCTATGAACATGTGGATTCGTTTTCCGATGGCATTTCAGGTTAGCTTCCCCAATTTCTGCCACCGCAGTTGTCGGTTGATTGGTCAAACCACCAACACTGACATAAAAACTTGGCAAGTTGACTTGGGTGTCACACCAATAAGTGGTTCCACTTATGTTTCGCTCGCGTTTACGCAGCTATTTTTATCAAGTGCTTTCTTGGTTTTTTCTCATTTTGTATTCATATCTCATGCACAATTCATAGACTTTTGTAGGTGATTCTTATTGATTCAAAGACATAATGTAAATATTAGTACAGTCTGGCTTTGTGGAATTATTCATTTAGAAACGATTATTTCGAAAAATATCTTTCCGATAATGCAAATGTTACTTACTTGCTTTCTAAAGGACAGAAATATTTCTCGAACGTTTGGAAATCAGTCAAATAAGTAAATACTTCATGACAATCTTTCAGAAGTGTACATTGTCCCGAAATTGTACCATTCAAAGGTGTTTCGGGACAATCGAGGCCTGCAGCAACGGAAGCATGTTCACCAAGTTCATAAGTACCTGTGAAATGAATGTAGTTCAGTGTTTCATTGAAATAAATACGAAAATAAATACGATTCTGAGAATAGGGTGTGTCGAACTGTCAAATAAAAGAAAAGTGGTCAAGTGGTCTCCTTTCACTTCAAATGAAAACTTTTTACCCTGTATCACTGGAAATAATAATAATAATAATAAAAAACTTTATTCACCGTAAGAGTACAGAATATAAATAAATGAACTACATGATAGAGTGGAAATAAAGACTTGAACGATAAGCGCTATTGCACTTGTTTCGTTATTGTGTAACAAGGAGTATAATTTATAGAGTACGCTACAAGACANCGTTTATGTAGAGATTGAATAAAGTTGGTCCTAAGATTGTACCTTGGGGCACACCACATTCTACTCTTCTCGGCTCGCTTTGTATCCCTTCGATTCTTACTGACTGTTCTCTATTGAGTAAATAGCTTTCAAACAGTTTCAGGCAATTGCCCCTAATACCGTTATTTTCCAATGTATTCAGAAGTTTTTTATGATCCACGGTGTCAAAGGCTTTTGAGAGATCAATGAATAGACAGAGAGAGGGTGTGGAGTTCTCTAAAGCCTTGTGTATCTTCTCAGTTAAAGTTATTAAAGCATCATCGGTGGAAATATTTTGTCTGGAAATTGAATTTTACAATTGGAAAATAACTTTTCGAGATGGTTTTGATTGATAATGCAATTTAATGATAAAAATGTTTTATAGTACCTTATTGTATTATCAAACACGTTTTTTGCCACTTTTATCTGTAACTAACGTTACTGCAGTTCCGTCCCATAAGGACATTTTCAAACTAATACAATAAACTGTAAATCATTCATAATGTTGCCCCTCATATGTCTAAACACCACTGTAAAAAATACCAGAGATACTCAACTTAGTTGACTACTTGAATTTTGTTTACCTGCGGTACCTAATTTGAGTAAACCAGATCGATTTCCACCGGTTTCCAAATTAGCGTACTCACCTTGTTACAGGTAAACAAAATTCAGGTACTCGATTTTTTTTTTGTTTTTTTTTTGTTTGTTTGTTTGTTTAAAGGCGTCGACTACGAGGTCATTGGCCTTCTACTATTAGTTCGTTCAACATTTGATTTCTTCTTCAAATTTTTGAGTATAGCCCAATAGCTTTCATAAATTTGATCATTCTCTCCAGACTTTCATTATGATCTTTCAAACATTCCTTCATAGAATTTGGTATTTCAAATCGTTGTCTAGCTTCATCCAATAATTTTTGTCACTCTCCNTCTACATTGTTGGCATATTGGTTGTTGTTCTCCTGAGAGCATGAATATGTTGGTTAAGTTGGTATGACCTATTCTCAAGCGTGTAATCACAGTTTGTTCTCTTCGTGTCTTTGGAATAGAATGTCTCCAGGGTGTGATTTATGGCTTCACCTCTTTCAATTTTGCTTCTGTTGTTTAAAATAATATTTCACGTCTTCCGGTCGAATAGGAATATTATCACAAACATCAGGTATTTCGGTAGCTCGTTTGGCTGCCTGCTCTGCTAATTCATTGCCCGAGATTTCTTGGGGACTAGGAGTCCATGCAAATTCGATGTGTTTTCCATTCCTATTCGTCCAGTGTATGGATGCCAAAATGGTCTGTACTAGTGGATCTTTATTAAATGAATTTTCTAGTGCGTGTAGTAAGCTTAAGGAGTCCGTACAAATGAGAAATTTTATTTCATTATGGAATTGACAGAAATAGGTTGCTTGTAGGATAGCGTATAATTCGGCTGTGAAAATACTTGTTTGTGCCGGTAAACTCCAACTGTGAGTCGAACCTGCTATTACTTACAGTGGTGTTTAGATATGTAATTGACAAACAACTACTAATAACTACTTCAATAGAAATTGTTTTTTTTATTTTGTTCCTTCTGAACACTGTGATGATGTGGAATCACAGATATGGAAGTCCAGGGACACCCTGTATATATACAGAGAGAGATTTTATCGAGTGTGTATGATGCAAATCAAAAATGCAACAAATAGTGGACATAACACTCTAAAAAGGGGGGCAAACCGCGGACACGTGTTTCTGGCTATTGGTCTCATCAGCGCGGTGCAGCCAAGTGTAAAGATAGGCAACACTTGTTTGTCGAAAGCAGGAAACAACACATACGCACGGAGTCAACAACAGAAGCCAACCGCACATTTGTGGTTCCAGTTAGAAGACCCAGAATTCCCAGGCTACATCTAACATGACCACGTAGGCAGCTATAGCTACATGCGTGACATCCGGGTACAGGATATAAATACAGAGAGAGATTTTATCGGGTGTGTATGATACAAATCAAAAATGCAACAAATAGTGGACCCGGGACGTTTTTTTTTAATCAATTTTAATTCATTTCATTTTCACTAGTGAAATCTTGGTCCATTCTAAACTCTAACTCCTCATGTTGATTTCCTGAAAAACTTTTGAATACTTCATTACCCATTTGTCAATAATAGAATTTCTGAGCATCTAGCATTTCACTTGTACTATTTGCCACATAAATTCAAAATAGCCATATGTTTGTTCAATTCATATATGTTTGTAGATTTAATAATCGCGTCGTGAGTTTCCCGTTTTTCTAGGAAGGTATTTTGCGACATCAATAGAAAATCATATATTCAGTGAAATTAATTCTGCAAGAAACATTCTGTTTCTAACATGTCTGATTCATTTGCAAAAATATAGATTTTCATTAACTAATAATGCGTATTTTCCTCACGTAATATTATGTAATTATGTAATGATTTCTATTATCATTTAAATACGAACGTGATCTTTCAGTACTTTTTTATCTATTTATAGACGGATTTCACAAATAAAGTGTTTACCGGAATTCACATTCTGAGGTTTGGCCTGAACTATTTGAAAAATTATTCTTTTATGTAACAAGAAAATCTTTCACAATGCCGTTCAATTTCATTATTACAATTTGAACTCTTCCTAATGAAAAATAATCAATAATATATCTCATCAGCCCCCAGTTTTTTTGTGGAACAATACAATTTCAGGATAAACGTGTTAAATAAAATCTTATTGTGATATTTTCAGTAAGCAAATTACAAAACGACAACACATGTACAAAAGTTTCTTCAGGCGTCTTCAACAAAAAATCGACAATAGTTTTTATCGTTTAATTAAATTCCAACAATAAATCACATTTCATTAGTGTGAGTTTTCCATTCTACACTGCACTCTTTTTTGGACAGCAAACTCCGACATATCTGGAACACAATTTTCAGTAAGCAACGGCAAAACAGAAAAGAATTTTTATTCCACCATGAAAACAATCAATGCATTTATGTTTTTCGTATTCGACACTATGATATAAATTCTATAATTCACACTTCAACAATCAGAAATACATACATTCGGAGATACGGGGTGTTGAAATTGAATTTTTTTGTTGGCTTGCAAAAAATAAGTTATTTGCACGAAATTTCTTATTAATTTTCATGTGACATCTAGAGGGCGCTGCGTATGCTGTCATTATTTATTCCAAATTGTCCTAACTTTTTTTTGACAGTAAACTTTTGGTACTTTTTATGAAAAAACCTAATTTCAACACCATTCTCAAGTAAAAAAGGTACACCTCCTAAACAACGCTGGAGGTGATCATTTTCGAGATATTTACAATTTTCTATATCGATGCATATTACTTTATAGCCAAATTTGATTTCAATAATTTTTGTCGCTCTCCGCTTGCAAATTAAGTTAATTAAATCGAGTAGGCTATGAGACTTTGTTTATAAAAATAGAAGTTCGCTATCACATTTTCAACTATTAATTGACAAATTAATGGCTGATATGGTTTTTGCATACGGCTTGGCTGACGAAAATTCAAGCGACGCCAGACGCATCTATCAGGAAAGGTATCCCCAAGGCGTGACTCCTTGTGCAGCGACATTTGCGAATCTTTTCCGGCGACTTTCCGAAGCTTTGAAACAAATTCTTCAGTAGGACGGCCACGGACTAAGAACTGTAGAATTGGAGGAGGCGGTTCTCGAAGAAATTAGTGAACATCCATAGACAAGTACAAGAAAAATTAGTCAAACTTTAAATATCAGTCACATGACGGTTTGCAGAATCTTAAAGGAACAGCAATTATATCCTTATCATATTCAGCGTGTCCAGGCACGCTACGTGACTTCCAACCACGTATCAAATTTGCTCAATGGATTCAAAGAAAAGTCGAACAATATCCGCAAATTTTATAGAAAATCCTCTCCACAGATGAAGCTAATTTGACAAGAAATGGTATCATGAAATTCCATAACAATCACATCTAGGCAGAAGATAACCCACATGCGATAACGCAAACTCATTTCCAAAACAGATTCTCTTTTAATGTATGGGTAGGCATGATTCGGGATTATTTAATTGGGCCCTATTTTCCCCCCTTACGTTTGAATGGTGATGCTCACCTACATTTTTTGGAACACGAGCTTCCCCAACTTATGGATGATGTTTCCATTGGTCTCCGAAATCACTCTTGGTTTATGCACGATGGAGCTCCTGCTAATTTAAGTGTGATAGCAAGAACTTTTTCAGACGTAGCATATCCCCAACGATGGATAGGAAGAGGAGGCACTGAGCATTGGCCCCCGAGGTCACCGGACCTCAATCCTGTCGATTTTGTTTGGGGACACCTAAAATCACTAGTTTATGCTAGCCCTATTGAAAACGAGGAAATGTTGAGGGATCGCATCATAGCTTGCTGCGAAACGATAAGAAACACTCCGGGCATTTTTCAACGGGTGCGGAATTCTTTGATGAGGAGAGCAGAAGCTTGAATTACTGTTGGGGGTCGTCACTTTGAACAGTTGTTGTAATAGTTGTTTCGTTCGATTTTTATATGTTTATTTTCCATAGTACTTCTCCGGATTGTTTTTTTTACAAACTCCGAAATGTAGCACTTTCTAATTGAATAATTAAACCTGACAATTTTTTTTAATTTGGATTGAATAAGCAGTTCGATAATGTTCAGTTTAGTAGAAGTCTGTACTGATATACTGTGTATGATGAAAATAACTAAAATTGCAAAAAAACTTATGACAAAAACCTACTGTTTTGAAAAATTTCAACAATCTGTATTTCGCAAAGGAATCATTCTTCCTTAAACATTTTATAGGAAAAAGTTGTTTATTTTGACGAGATCCACCACATACTTAGTTTTTGTAATGTTCTCAGCAACTTCACTTAACGCTCTAGGAGCTAAATAATATGCATCGATATAGAAAATTGTAAATATCTCGAAAACGATCACCTCCAGCGTTGTTGAGTAAGTGTACCTTTCTTACTTGGAAAAGGTGTGTTTCGACCATTCAGGTATGAACTAGCCCATTTCAAAGCGTTTCCTCTAATTCCATACTTCTCTAATTTATACATCAGAAAAGATCTGTCCAAACAGTCATATGCTTTAGAAAGGTTAGGTAAGGTTAGGTAGGTAGGTAAGGTTAGGTTAGATCCAAAGTGAGTGGGTCTATTCGACCCTCCATCGCAACCCGCAAGGGTTTATTGTGTTTCACACCTCTTCACACTCGACCAAATAAACCCAGCTTCTCAACGAAGCCGATTATTTTGTATGGTGAGTGGTCTTTCAGGTCAAATGGTGAGAGTACGGATCTACCGAGCTCTAAAAACCTGATTCGGTCTCCAGCGGGGCAGGCACAAAGTATATGCTCTGCTGTTTCATCGTTAATGAGGTAGTCGGATAGTCAAGGTGCAAGATTCCCACCTCGACAACCGCAACAACCTTCCCATATGAGGGTTTTTGCACGTAAGCTACACCTGACGATGCCTTAGTTTCAACCGTGCAGGGCTTTTTTGCCTCTGGTTTTGCTGAATCATCACTTAAGCGCAAATGTTGGCTAACCTGCTCATTGGGGGTTTGCTCCTCCACTTGAGACAGATTCTGCGCATGCCGCTCAAGAATTTGGTGCAAGGCGGTTTCGTCAGGTACCCCACTCTTGAGGAAATGACTCAGTCGTTTCATGGCTGCACCACCAAACCTCCTATTAGGTTCAGTTATTGGATCAGGAGTTGGAGAGTTTAAAAGCTCTCGCTGCTGATCTAAATTTATAGGGAGGTCAGTTGGAGTCGTAAGCTCGACAATCATCTCCTCTGTAGACTCAGCGTCAGAAAGAATTTTTAAGGTTACTCTGTTCATAAAAGTCCCACGACTAGCTAGGGAAAGAAGGTTAATCACGAAAGATAGTCTAATCATCAAGTTCAAAATCATGAAGAATAGAGATGAAGGTCCTAAAAATATGAGCGATAGTTCATTCGATTCGGAATCACCTATAGAAAATATTTTTGAAGGATTTTGGTGCAGGTAAAAAATTTCAATTGTTATTAACAAAATAAGATTTAAAAAAATGGTATTTAGTTTTTCGTTATTAACTCAAAAAATATTGATATTTAAGCAATTTTGAAAAAAGCTCGTTAAAGAGGAGGAAATTTCCCATAAAAAAGTTTCGACTCCCGAAATTTTTGATTGTTTAAATAATTAGTTGAGACATAATTTTGCTTTCAAAAATCATAATTTATACTTTTGAATAGTTTGGCAAAAACATTATTCATTATTTGATTGTTTATTAGTTTAACAATTTGTTATGAACAAATATTGACCAGCGTTATTTTCTTCTGAAGAGATAAATTAAATAAACACAGCTATATATAAAAATAGCCATAATTTTTTTTTTAATT